TGCGCAGCGGCGTACCACGAACAAGTCAATAGCAAGCGGATCCCACCGCCTAAACGCCGTCTTGGCCAGGTCATCGCGCGCCGCCTCGCGACTGCTCCACGTGTTGGGCTTCGATTTTGCCCAGTTACCAAACAAACTGCAAAGCACCTTCGTGGGGCGCGTGCCAATCGGGAGAATCGCAGCGTCCATGAAGATTAGGCCCTGGAATGCGACGGCCGGGTACATCCGCTGCAGCATCAACCTGACGACTCGGTGAGCACTAATCGGCGACGGGCACCAGACACGGCGTCGTCACTTACAACGGGGCGGAGCCCGCAGAGTGGGCGAGTCCCACGAGGAATCGGGTGCGGAAGTCTATGCCGTGCGCTGTCGACGTCAGGAACGTATGCGCCGCACGACAGTAGTCCATCGCAGTCCCTATGGCGCGTAAGTCAAGAAGGCCTCCTTCGATCATTCGCTGAAAACACTCACAGTTGTCGCGATAGTCCGGCGAGTCAAGCAGGGCGCGGTTCCTCAGCGCGCTGGACCCATGATTGGGGTTCTCTGTCGCAGTCAATGTCAGGGATGCACATCGCCGGCATGCAAGTGCGGTTACGGGAAACGCACCTATGCACCAGACATCCCGTATCTGCAGTCCCTGCGGGAGGCGCAGGAGGTGCCGCACAACCGGCTCGAACTGCTCCTTGTGCGTATTCGTCGCATGCAAAAACACGAGGGTCAGCCCGTTCGCGGCGGGGTGCTCCGGCACGTATTGGACGGCCTCGACGTGGAAGGGACAGGCCGCTGAGGGTTCCAGACGGTGGACGGTTGACCGCTGCATGGGATGGGAAGAAGAAGAGGACTTAGGTGGTGCGATCTGTCAGTGTCAACGATAAAACGGTGTGTCGTAAGTTATGATTTGTGATCTTCGCGATGTTGACTTGATGCTGGGTTAAAGTGGGGTTGACCGACGGATTGGTGTGGGTGCGTTCCGACGTTTTCGCAATGGCTCACTGGCAAGCTTGTCTGACATTTGTTCTACAAGCAACATTTCCTCTTTCTCCACGAAATCCAGGACTTTGGACGGGGGCGGAGACGGGACACTTTGCGGTTACTTTGCAACCGGCTGAGTATGGTATGCTAAAATGGGCCAGGAGGAGTCTCTGGAGTTATATGCGTGAGAATCCCGAGTTTCGTCTGAACCTTGACCCGCAAATTCGAATTCAACCATACACTTGAACAGCGCTCAATTCAACCATCTTGGGCATCGTTCAAGCTTTGTTCAACTTTTCAACTGCGCCATCTCTCTGATTCCGCGCCAGATTCCCGCTCTCCACATCCTCTCTGGAAGTTTAACCAAGCAAAACCGTCCGACTTACTTCCTGGCAGATCCTATCTTTATGCCGGCAAAAGATGTCCTGAATTTAGCCCCCTTGAGGCTGTTGCTAGATCGACCACGCTAGCTTACAGCTCCGGCGCCAACTCGGCGCTAAACGACTTCCGACGCCTCTTTGCTCCTCTTTGTATCCTCATGCCCGCCCCTGGATCCGGGCCTCCGCTGCCAACCGGGGCTTGGCCCACCTTCAATTCCGATGCAGTCTCATTGGGAGGAGACTCCCACGCGGCCGAGAGCTCGCTCGCAGCGTCTCACACACTCTCCTGGCGAGAGCGCCTCCACTGGCGAAGCCCCCCCAAGCCAGCTCACCCCAAACCGACCCCCAGAGTCGATGCAGATTGGGAGCGCACTCGTTTGGTTGACTTTTCTCTTACTTCGACAGAATTGGATTCCTGCTGACGCTTGATTCCAGAGAGTCAAGGAGGTTCTCTCCACGTTCGCCCAGGTTGCGGGCGACGTAGTTTTGCCAATGGCCGCGGAGGCCATGTCTGTGGTGCCGATTCCGGCTCTCGCGCCGGCGGCCAAGATCCTAGACAGCATTTGGAAGTCGGTGCAGACAGTGCAGGTGCGTCACTGCCGCGTTTTATATTTCCCTTCATAATCGGTACCGTTCCCAGACAAACCGCTCCAGTTGCCTCCGCGTCACAGAGCGCTGTGCGGACTTGTTGCTTGCCATCAACGAGGTGATGGCAGAATCTGGTGAGGAGGTTACTCAAGAGCTACAAAAGCCATTGCAAAGAATTGAGCGGTTGGTTGGACAGTTAAATCGTCTGCACAGCTAATCTCCTGGCTACCAGGAGTTTCCTCGGCTTCAGCACATTTCTGAACGGCCAAGCGGAGTTGTCTTTCTTTACTCGGTATCTCAAAAAGGACGAAATTCTGCGCGAAATTCAAGACCACGATAAATCTATCGGCGACTGTTTGTTTCTGTTCAATGTGAGCTACCCCTATCTGCTGGTTGGTGTTTGTAAGTTGAACCTCCTTTCAGGCTGCGATGCAGGCCAAGGTTTTGCAACGTGTCCTACTCATTAAACCCTCGACACAAAAGTCGGACCTGCTTCTGTCGTCGGTCGAGACGCACGCCCCCGGCCAAAACGAGACCCTGGATGCACTCGACCTTGCCGTCTCCTTTGACCCCATCGATACCGTGGTCAAAGATGATGATGTGTCTAGCCTCAGCGAGAAACTGCGCCAGGTTCAAGAAACCGAGAATCAGGCAGATCGCTTGCGCGACATCGAAGACCTCGGCCGTGTTTTGCACCTCGCCCTCGAGGCGCCGAGCCATCTTGCAGTGACTCGAATTCTCCAGATCTCAAAGCCTGATATGCCCGTGGCGATCATGGTACTGCTGCGCGAACTCGAGAGACAGCAGGAGCAGCGCAGAAGTCCCAGCGGGTCTCCGTCTCCGCGAATTCGGTCCTTGACGTGGCCGTTGGATGGAGTACCGGCGCGGCAAGTCGCGTTGCTGCACAGGCAGTTCATGGAGTTTGAGTTGGAGGCGCTCAAAAGGACGACGTGGGATAATGGGTTGCCCATACCCGACAGCCCGTCCCTCCTTTCTGGGAATTTCAGGCGCGTGGAGGGCTCCACGGAAATTCGCGTCTATCCTCCGTGTCAGTATTCTCACCCCAGAGTTGGATCCTTTCTTACGTTGTGCGAACGCAGCGGAACCCGATTCATATATGAGCGACTTCTCGCCGTCGGGAACTGCCATCACCACACCCGCGCCGTCCGACGATGGACATGGGACTTTCAAACTTGGCGGGGCATCACCTAGTGATTCAACTGCGAATCTCAGTCTTGCGCTTAACCCCCCGAGCGACCCCACTGAAGCTGCGACGGAGGTCCGCTACCGGATGTCCCTCTCGCACGCGTTCCATCATCTCAGCGGTAAGTGTTTGACTCCAACTTCAACCAACGACGCCAATAACCACTTACTTCCAAGTGATACTCCCGCTCTGGAGCCCCAGCCTGATCCAAGTCGGAGCTGTTGGCTATCTCTCCACCCCCAGCGGCAACTTCCACACCCTCTTCGACGCGACCTCCTCCACCCGACCCTCCGGCATCCCCAAACTCGCCGGCGTCGCCATCTCCACGCAAAAGCAGAACCACCTCATCGGCGGGGCGCTGGCCAGGGGACTGAAGATTCTCGACAAGCTCAAGTCAAAATCCCCCCCAAACGTCAAGCACACGTATGCGCTTTCAGCGTTGGGGGAGACGGCGCACCTGATCGCCGAGAAAGCCGAGTACCACTACTTTCATAGTCTTGACGAGCCCAGGAGGTGGTTCCGCGCGAACTTGCAGACGATTATGGATGCGTTTCCCAATCAATGTTTGCGGGAGGAGCTGTTTTTGGGTGAGTAGCTGCCCACTAAATATTACGGCGAGGTGATCATACCGTTGTCAGTTTTTGGCACGTTGAACGCTCAAGACCATGCGCTGTTCGTGAACCACGGCGGTGACGAGGCAGTGCGTCTATTGTGTTCTTCATCCTTTCCTCCAACCCTACATTTACCTCTGCAGTCGTTTGAGACCCACTTTCACGTCCACTCCGCCCGCAAACCCGGCCAGCCGTGGGGCTACTTCGAACACGGATCGGGTCAGGATACGGAAACGACGATGTTCAAGGTCTCTGACGTTGGCCCTCGTTGGAACACCGTCCTTCTCTCGCGGCTTCGTTTCCAACCGGACCACAAGGAGCCTACGACTCAGTGAGGTCACGGACTGAGAAGAAAACCTCGGAAACTTTGGACCATATAATTATGTGTATTGGGTTGGATAGATCGTTCAACGCGTGCAATTTAGAATGTACATCTATTCTTGGGCAGGGAGGTACATGTATGATTATTCCCTCATAGGCTACTGTGACTCCAGCATAGTCTGTCGTTATCCACCTCCCGTGAAAATCCCCGCTCCTCAGGAAAAAGAAACATCCCCGCATACAAACGCTTATTCAGACACAGGGACTCGAACCTCGAGGTACGAGTGTCCGTATTGTAGCGTCTGTCTAGGAGAGACCAACTCGAACCCCGAACTGCTTCAAGATTAATTCTGCGCACTCGACCAATGACGGAAGCCGAGTTTACACCACGCCTGAGTTCCTGACCCTGTTTGGCTCCTCCTCATTGGGGCGGTTAATACCATCCTCCTCCTCCTCCTCCGGGGACCTCTCTGACTCGATGTTACACAGAATTACTTCCGCGCTCAACAACAACAAGAAAAAAAACAATCCAGTTCAAGTTCAGACGCGGGGACTCGAACCCCGAACTGCTTCAAGATGAATTTTGTGCCCTAGACCAATGACCGAAGCCGTGTTCCCGAATTTACACCACGTCCGAGTTCCTGGCCCTGGTAGCTCCCTGAGCACCTTTGACTTGACGTTGCCTACCGCGCTCACCCATAAAAAAAAAGAACAATGTCCAGTTCAAGTTCAGACGCGAGGACTCGAACCCCGAACTGCTTCAAGATTAATTCTGTGCACTCGACCAATGACAGAAGCCATGTTCCCAAGTTGACACCACGTCTCAGTTCCTGACCCTGGTAGCTCCCCGAGGACCTCTGACTTGACGTTGCATATAATTATACCGCGCTCACCCATAAAAAAAAGAACAATGTCCAGTTCAAGTTCAGACGCGGGGACTCGAACCCCGAACTGCTTCATTAGTTTTGCTCTGATTTTCCACTGACCGAAGCCGTGTTACCAATTTTACACCACGTCTGAGTTCCTGGCCCTGGTAACTCCCCGAGGACCTCTGACTCGACGTTACACAGAATTCCTTCCGCGTTCAACAATGAAAAAAATAAACAAGCACTCTCCAGCTTGGCAGACGCGGGGACTCGAACCCCGAACTGCTTCCATGCATTATTCTATGTCGACCCAGAGCACAGGGACGGAAGCTGTGCTGCTTTGCACCACGTTTGAGATACCTTTTTACAGGTATTGGCCGACTTACATACTATGCCTTACTCAAACGAACCCCTTCGACTGGAAGAAATTATTTCTGTTGAATCGGGAGGTATTCTTCCACAGAATACGCAGCGCAGTACGAACGAACTTCACGATCTAGAACTAGGTTTAGGTATGTACAGTATGTCCCAACAAGGGTCCCTCTCATTGCCATATTCAGCTGAGGAAGAGGCAAGACGCCTGATGACACTAACGTGTGTAAAAGGAGAGGAGCTCGTCGACGGTTTTGTTTTCGACCATATCATCATCATGTGTTGAATTGTGCAATAGTAGTAAAAGTACAAGCGATGGCGTTCGGTGTGTTAACATAATACATTTACAGATTCATCCCCAGGTTGACGTGCACGGCCTTAACCTGGGTGTACCTGCAACACAAACCAACCGTCAGCACAATCCCATTTGCGCTTCCACATAATAGCAGAAGACAGAAGACAGAGCGGAACGACGTACGTCTCAATCGCATACTCCCCATGCTCACGCCCGATCCCGCTGCTCTTATACCCGCCAAACGAGATCGCGGCGTCCGTGAGCTGCGCCATGTTGACGAAGAGCGACCCCGCCTCGATGGCGTGCGCGACGCGCAGCGCGCGCGCGGTGTTGTCCGAGAAGACGAGCGCCGCGAGGCCGTAGTTGGTGTTGTTCGCTGCTTCGATGACCTCTGCGAAAAACGTCAATTATCGTCCAACAAACGACGACAGGGCAACGGAAAGAAGGAAGGAGAAAGAGAGGGGAAGTAGGGAGGAAGGGGATTGGGGAAAGCAAACGCACCCTCCTCAGTCTTAAACTTAAGCACCGCCGCCACAGGCCCAAAGATCTCCTCCTGGACGATCTTCATCTCGGGCGTAACGTCCGTAAAGATGGTCGGCTGGATGAAGAACCCCTCCGTCCCGTGCCGCTCGCCCCCCAGGTGCACCGTCGCGCCGCTCTCCTTGCCCGCGGCGATGTACGCCATGATCCTCTACATTCCGTAGAATTGAGTTAGAGGACGTCAGCTGATACCCAAGATGGAAGGAAGAAGAAGGAAGACTGACGTCGAATTGAACTTGGGACACCTGTGGGAAGGGAGGGATGGATCAGCTGGGGTTCGTTCACCGCACACAATCGCAAGCAGGAAGCGATGGAGGGCAGGGAATGAGGGTGAGACAAACGCACCTGAGGCCCATGCCTCGTCCCAGGCGCGAACGGGTCCCCCGTCGCCTGCCCCAGCTCCCGCACCGCCGCCGTGAACTTCTCGATAAACTGCGGGTAGATCCCCTCTTGGACGAAAATCCGCGTTCCCGCGACACATGACTGGCCTGGAAGGGATTAGTGAGTGAGCCCGGGAATGCCCGTATGCATTACTCACCCATGTTCCCGCTGAGAAAGAAGCAAGCACGCGTTGGTCAGTCAGCCAAGACACGGAAAGACGGAAGGGCGGAAATGAAAGAAGTGCGGATGGAATCGGATGGGTACTAAGTGGATGAATGGATGGATAGATGGATACGTACTACATCCCAAGCATCGCCCACTTGATCGTCTGGTCGAGCTTGCAGTCGTCGAACACGATCGAGGGCGACTTGCCGCCGAGTTCGAGAGTGATGACCTTGAGGTTGGTTTTCGCGGAGGCCTCGAGGACTTTGCGGCCGACGAGGGTGCTGCCGGTGAACGCGACCTTGGGGATCTCCATGTGCTCGGCGATGGCCACGCCGACGGTGAGGCCTGCCGGGAGGAGGACGTTCGTTAGTAGGGATGAGAGAGAATGTGTAGGGCACATACCGTAGCCGTTGACGATGTTGACGACACCGGGCGGGAAACCGGCTTCAACGACGAGTTCTGCGAATTTGAGAGCCGAGAGGGGGGTCATCTCCGACGGCTGGTTGAAGTTCAAAATTCAACATCGGACGTCTGGAGGATATACAAAGGGTAACCCACCTTCAAAACAATGCAATTGCCCGTAGCGAGTGCCGGTCCAACTTTCCAGGACAACATCAACACTGCAGACGCCCAACATTAGAACGACGGACATAGACGGGGTTATTTTCGCTACGCACTGGGGAAGTTCCCTATTCAAGGTTGACAAGACAGAATCAGTTTAACAAGACGCGAATGTTGTTGACCGGACTCTGTAAGTACGCACAAGGGATGATTTGTCCCTGCCAAGGTCAATCAGTCGTTAATATAGCGTACAAGGTTCGAAAAGACAACAGGACGCACAACAACACCGAACGGCTCGTGGCGCGTGTACGCGAGCCGCTGCTCAGTGGTCTCAATGGTGTCTCCGTGGATCTTGTCGGCCCATCCGCCGAAATAACGGATGCAGCGGATGGCGTCGCGCATGTCTGCCCCTTTGGCGACATGGAATGGCTTCCCTATCGATTCAAACCATGTTCAGTCACGGGTATTAAAACAAAGGCCAACGAAAACATACCGGCGTTGATAGACTCGAGGGCGGCGAACTGATCAATGTCGCGGTCGAGGAGGTCCGCGAGGCGCATGAGCAGCTTGCCGCGCTCGAATCCGGGGCATTTGAGGCCCCACGAGGTTTTGTAAGCCTAATAGAGAATAGGAGCGGTTGGTGAGAAAGACGGGTGGAGTGAAACGGAACAAACGCGCCTTTTGGGCGGCCTTGACAGCGATATCGACGTCTGCCTTATCGCCTAGCGAGATGGTCGCGATTTTCTTGCCACTGGCTAGACTCAAAGAAAGCATCATTGAGAAAGGCGCCCTTAAGGAGGGGAGGGCAACGCAGCGCACCTGGGTTGAGAACGCTGTCCAGACCGTGATTAGATCGATGGAATTGGCAGTGACGCAAGAAACGCACTCGACCGTGTCTGGTTTGACGGGGTCGACCCATTCCCCGCCGATGAAGAGGTTGGTTTTGACTGTGATGCTGCCCTTGTAGGCAGCGTTGTCGATTTCGAGGGTGCAGGTTGAGGGCATTGTGTGTGGAATGTGGGGGAAAGGGGCGCTTGTTGGAATCGTTCGGGTTCTTATATAGGCGGCGGCATGTGGTCATTGTGGTCACCGGTCAAGGGAAGTGGGTCCGTTCTGGGCCGGTCATCGCCTCCTCAATTACAAACTCATAGTTGAACTTCTCACGTCCGCGGCGCGAATTCCCATGCTATCCGGAACCTTGCAGCGTTTTATTGGCTTCTACAGGGAATTATTCGTTGAGGAGAGCGGCCACCACGTCGACCAGGTCCGCCATTCACCAAGTTGAAGTAATGGACTCGATAAGTACTGAATCGGATGCGAGAGAACCTCCACAATCGAACACGATCAGAACAGAAGAGCCCAAGAAAGGATAGATATTCAGGTTGGCGCCACAACATGACGACGAAATGAAAGGAACGTTGTGCCGCGGACTACACTTCGTTCAATTGAGGCGGAGCATAATCAAGGGCAGGCAAGATGCGTTGTGGGTACAATCTCTAAGATCCCTGGTCCAATCGAACCTGAACAGCATCAAACAAAGTATCTGTCGGGTATCGCGACGGCGTCCATCCCATGAGATATACAAAGAAGCGCTACCGCGACGGACATCGCTCCGAATACGCTGGCGGCGCCGGCGTCGACACCCGCACACCATTCCCCGACCCAATAGACACAGCGTCCCCCACGCCCGAAGGCCCGATAGGCGCGAACCGAATATGCGACGACGTCGCACGGCTCAGCCCCTCGCTCGGACTCAACAACTGCTGCTCGCTATGCGCATCGCGCGCATGCGGCGTGGGCGGCGCACGGTCGGTATACGGGCCCGGCACCACAGGCGCGCTGGCGCCGGGCGGCAGGCCGTACGGGTGCGGCGACGACGCGGCGGAGAGCGACGAGGACGCGTGCGAGGGCGTCTGCCCGTGCCCCTGCGCGTAGTACCCGCCCGCGCCCCCCTCACCCGGCTCCCATGGGTCCGACAGCCCACTGCCGCTCGACGCATACCCGCCCCCGCCCCCGCCCACCAGGCGCACGGACGGCTCGGCCATCTCGACCGCGGCGTACGTCCCGCGGCCACGCTCGGCGGAGCCCCAGTCGTCGAGCACGGAGGCGCTGGGGCGGGCGGAGCGCGCGCGGCGGAAGCGGCGGCGCTGGTAGAGCGCGAAGGCGAGGAAGAGGGCGGCGAAGAAGACGGTGAGGCTGAAGGCGGTGGCGAGGCCGATGGTGAGGGCGTTGCGGGAGGGGACGACGGAGGCGGCGCTGGAGGAGGCGGCGAGCGTGGCGGAGGCGGATTGGGAGGAGGATCGCGCCAATGTGGATGACGATGAAGTGGTCGTGGAAGAGGAGGAGGAGGAAGCAGACGAGGAGGAGGACGAGGACGAGACTGGCGGCAGGCCGTTATCCGCCGTGTATCTGCACCCACGTTAGATTGAGCTGGCTTTGTCTGAGAGCAAAGGCACGCACATGAGCCCATCCATGATGATAGAATTCCCCATCGTCGCGACCAGGGTATGTGAGGTATTGGCCAGCCCCGTGGCCGACCAGACGACGGAGGTAAGCGCGGACTCGGCGCCGCCCGCGGCGGAGGGCGAGGTCGCCGGGTCGGTCAGGTTCACGAGCACCGGCGCCCCGCCGTCGAGGCTCAGCCGCGTGCTCACGTCGTACGGCCATCGGGGTGAGAGGTAGTATATCGCCACGCCTGCCCACAACACCCCAGGTTAGCCTGATTCCACGCACGGGATGGAGACAAGACGACGCACCGGTAAACGTGAACGTCGCACTCCCAGCAGCATCGCTGCTAAAGGTATGGCTCCCGCCGAAATCGAGCCCGGAGCGGTGGGAGG